TAATAGTGCATTTGAGCGTTCACTATTAAATGGTTGAGTCTTTAGAATCAATATTACTACTTGTAACCGCCCTAAAATAATAAGAAAAATATCTTATATTGTGTGGTCCAATATTAATAGTAGGTATAAGAAAAATATCTTATATTGTGTGGTCCAATATTAATAGTAGGTTATCTTAGGTGTGATGATACTCTATTCAACCTTAGTAGTGTAAATTAAGTATTGAGCACATTATATTATATATAGTTTTAATGATGATACTATATGCGATTTTATTGAAATTTATGATTTAAATATTCAATAATTGATGTATGGTGATGTTTACAATTGAATAGTGATATATTTAATAAATAAGTAAACATAAATATTCTTGATATGATTAATATTAATATAGATATGATGCAAAGTGAGAATAATGAATGCTTAATTGAATTGTGAATTATTATGCGTATGTTTTTCTCGATGATGATATGCTAGAATATTTACCTTAGGGTATATTTATCAATTGTTTGCTTCTAGTTGTGATTAACCTGGTTAAGTTTATCTACTTCATGTATATAGTAGATTAGTCGTTCAAAATATGTTATGTGAAGTATATAGTTTAAAATTTTGTGTGTATCATTTTAAATTTTATGATTAATTCAAGGCATCAATATATTCAGAGGATTTTTAACGTCGAAATATCATAATACTATATCTTATTTCATCAAGGGTATACACATCCATAAGATCCTTTTTTATATATTGGCTTATAAACTTTGACATACTTGTAAGCAGGGTTTTAAAAAACGGTCTGCGACCGCAATTTCGACAGCGATATAGCGGTTTCGTCGCCGTCTGAGTTACCCTCGACGGCCGCACCGCGACGACCGCAATAGCTCCAGTGATGGATAAATCCGAAATAACCGAAAACGCGACCGCGATTTGAAACTCTACTTGTAAGTTGTAATAATATGTTTTGACTATTTGGTTATTTTGTTGAACATATATGTGTTGAAGCTCCATATTTGTATTTCAAATGTTTTACCAAATTATGTCATGGATGCTGTTTAAATTGGAAAAGTGGTTTTGGACTTTAATGTGAAAAATTTTATGGGTAAGTTATTGGATCGTTTTGAGGGACCAAATACAACACTATAAGTTCACTGTATTTACAGATTAGGTTTAGGGTGTTATAAAGATTACCGTTATTTATAAATAATGTAAGGTCACCACGAGATCTTTTCTGTCGCGTCCATTCATCGTGTAAGTGTAATCAAGATGTTTCAGACTTATAATGATCGAGACTTAGGTGGTGTTTATTTTTGCAGAGGTAAAAGGTCTGCAGTCTGCGGACCACATCTGCAGTAGAAGAGGTAGACCAAAGTCTGCAAAAAAAATATTGTTTGGTTTTTAACGTCTACAAACTGTTAAAATAAATTGAAATATAAAAAAACTGATTTTTTAAACTATATTCAAATAATCATTTTTGCTATTAATTTTTTAAAAATTATAAAATGTCATTAAATTTAATGAATTATTACAAAATATTCACTATAATATTGTAATAAATTATAAAAATTTGATAATATAATAATTATTTTATAGTATTTAGATAAATTTATTAATAATTTTATAATCTTTTAATAAATTTAACAAGTATTTTATAATTGTTTAAACTTTATTGACGAAAATGATCATTTATATATAACTCAATAATATTTAATATATTTTATTTGAAAAAATATATTAAATAAATATTATATAAATTTTATTATTATAAATTATTACATCTACAGACTATCAGATTTTGATTTTAATATTATATATCATTTTAAAAATTATTATTAAATCAATCGATAATGAAATCAATTTAATTTTAATTCAATCTGTTTGTTTCAATTTAAGTAATTGTTAAAAAATTATATTTTAATTCTCAATTATTATCGATTCACAAATATATCAATACTCGATTTTATAATATCTTTTAAATCATCTTAATTTATTCGAGTGGTACAGTCCAATTCTAGTAACGTCAAAAAATATGTATAATATATACTCCATATAATATACATCAATTAGTATTTTCTATATAGAAAAATTATATTATTTATTTATTTATTTATTTTGAATAAGAGACTTTCGTACTTTACCAGAATTAAATGATAAGAATCAGATTTTTCAATAATGTGAATATTTTTTTATGAAAACATTTATTTTGTCTTTTAATGCTAATAATTGTATGTCCCAATGATTTTCTAAGTTTTTATATAAAAAAAAGTTTACTAAGTTTAATTGTATAATATTTTTTACTAAGTTTAATATATTTTTTTCAAATAAAGTATATTAAATATCGTTGAGTTATATACAAATGATCATTTTCGTCAATAAAATTTAAAAAAATTATAAAATACTTATTAAATTTATTAAAATATTATAAAATTATTAATAAATTTATCTAAATACTATAAAATAATTATTATATTATCGAACTTTTATAATTTATTATAACATTATAGTGATTATTTTGTAATAATTCATTAAATTTAATGATATTTTATAATTTTTAAAAAATTAATAGTAAAAATGGTTCTTTGAATAGTTTTGAAGACATAAGTCAACGTCTGCGCCAAGAAGAGTACGTGCAGACGTTAGAATAGCTTATGTCTTCTAAAAAACAAACGGTATGTGAAGTCCAATGTCTACGCGTAGTCTGCGCGGTGCAGACATAAGAGTTTTGAAGACTTTAAACAATGAAAACAAACACCACCTTATAGTGTCGAGCCTATAATGACTGAGACTTATAGTGTCAGATGTCTAAAATGCTAGAGGGCTCAAATATAGGAGGCACATAACATTTAAAGAAAAAGTCTTAAATTAATTATTAGTCTATAATAATTATAAGATAATATTAATTTAAAAATTATTTTAATTATTGACAATATACATATATCACGTAAACTCAACCCCTCAAATCTATAACTTAAAAATAACAATCCCCTCTCTTGCCGAGATCCAAGTTCTCCTCTAGCCTCCCTCAGGTTACCCCCACCTAGGGATGGCAAACGGGCGGGTCGGGTACGGATACCCCCTCCCCCATCCCCATACCCACCTAATATTTTTCAATCCACCACCCGCCCACCACCCATGATGGGTACAAATTTTCAAATCCACACCCGCCCACGCGGGTACATTTTCAAATCCATCCCCACACCCACTAGCGACATACCCATCTAGACCCGCCTGACAGCAAACTAATGGGATGTTGGAGTTGGTTCCCAGACAGTTCGTGATGGGGTAGCAGCGCATGCTTCAATTTGTCAGAGGAGTAGCTCTACGAATGTTATGGAGAGAGATTGTAGGGAGCATGTAGTCGTAGAGCTGGATTGTTGTGTTGCTTTCGATGTTAATGCTCATAGTGCACCTAATATGGGTTTTGAGGGGCTAAAGAACATGGAAACTGCTGCTTTTGATGTTAATGCTTATAGTACGGCTAATTTGTGTTTGGATGGGCAGAATGAGCTAAAGAACATGGAAAGTGACGTGGTTAGTGGGATTATGGGTTTAATCAAAGAGCCGAATATTTCCCTACTAAATATCCTTAATATTTGGATAAATTATATGTTATAAATTATACAATATTAAAATTTATAAATTAGTCTCTAAAATTACACCTAAATTTATAATGGTCCAAAAGTTAATAGATATTTAGCTGGGTGGGCGGATGTGGGGAGGGCGGATGTAGGGCGGATGCGGGGCGGGTAATGTCTCAAACCCATTACCCGCCCACGACCCACGACGGGTACCACTTTATAAATCCACACCCGCCCACTACCCGCTAAAATTATGTCCATCCCCACTCCAATTGGAACGGATGCGGTGCGGAATCCACGAAACTGTACCCGTTTGCCATCCCTATCCCTACCCCCACCCCATATTAATCCTTTCACCTGCCAATTAACGTCTCTCACGATTAACGATTCACTCGGTCAACGTCAACTTTAAGACCAGCATTGAAGGGGACAGGCAATGGACAAAAAAACGTTTTTTTATTCCTTTTACGAAAAACAAAACGAAAACTTCACAGGGAAATACTGACGTACAACAACTTTAATATATGATAAAAAAAATAAAATTAATAAAAAAATAATCGAAAATATTATTAGATGCTATTGATTTTGTTATTATTGAACGTTTTATCGAATTTGATAAAAATGACCGGAAACATTATTAAGTGCTATCGATTTTATTTAGACATTTTTAAGAAAATATAAAAAAATTAATGTTTTAAATAAATGTAATAATATTTTAGATAATTTTTTATCGATTTATTATTTAAACAATAATAAAATCAGAAACATAAAAAAATTAAAACTTTTATATATTTTTCTTTTTATATTTTCAATTTTCAATTTATTTTTCTTTTTAAATTTTATAAATTTCTCTTCTAATATAAAATTTTATATTTATATATATCATTTTAACATAAAATTCTATATTCGTTGAGGTATATACATCTTAGAATGTCATGATGGAGCAGAAATAGCTTATTTAGTCAGAGAGCAAACACTCCAAACAAGCTAAAAATAGAAGAACTCCTAATTCAAATTCTAAGTTTCAATCTAATTTTTAGAGAAACTATGCGGGACAAAGGGAGGAACAAATCTAATACGAGCTAAATCGTCGGGGTTTCGAAGAGACGAGCACGTATCTTTAGCCTTTTACATAAAATAATGGAAAAGCACAAATTCCTAAATCATTGGAGCTCAAGAATCCTAGTGATCATACGGCATACTAAAGGAGAAACAGTTATACCGAAATAAGACCATGAAAGTGCACAGAAATTGAAAAGAAATAAATAAAATACTCGAAAACTTAAACAAACAAACAAACAGAAAGAAATACGTACAAGCAAAACTGTTTGAATTATCGATTGACTTCTCGTTGACCTACTTGGAAAAAAAAATTCAAATTGCATAACAAAACCTGAGAGAATTTAGAGTGATAAAACGAAGCGGTACCTCTTTCCGCCGGAGAACTCGTAAAGCCTGCCGCGACAGGAGAAGATGACGAGAGCGATCTCGACGTCGCAAAGAACGGAGAGTTCACGAGCCTTCTTGATCAAGCCGGAACGGCGTTTTGAAAAAGTGACTTGCCGGCTGTTCTTATCTTCGATTCGCTTTATTTCCACCTTCCTCCTCCCCATTTTCGTATGATCTTTTCCTAATTTCTCTTCTGCTCCTTTTCTCTATTTATCATTTCTAGTGAAGACGAAGCTTTTATTACTGTTTATCTTTGACAAAATAAAATATTAATAATAGTAATTAGTCAATGTGTGGCCTTAATAACTGTGATATTATATATTTAACACGTGTCGTATTTGAACGCGGCTTTTCTTTTTCTTTTTCTTTTTTTTCCATTTTAGGTGCTTTATTCCTTAATCTTCCATTTCCATTTCCGCATTATCATATCATAATTTCAGGTCTAATTTTGTTCCCAGGTCCTGAACTCTTTAGATATTTGAATCTTAGCCCCTTTCCTTATAATTTTAAAAATGTAATCCATTTATTTATTTGATTTAAAAAATTAAAATTCTGTTGGTAACACTAACACTTTTTAAATCGATCATCCCTAGCTTAATTATTCTTATTTCATTTTTAAAAATTTAATCCCTTTATTTTTTTTGTAATTTGTGTTATAAATTAATAATTATTCATTTTTATGTGGAAAATAAAATTTTATTTTAAAATATAAAATATTTATTTTTAAAATATGTTTGTTATACTCGTTAGGTGTCTTCAGTAGTTAAAGAAAATATTGTTCTCTCTTGAGGTTCTAGATCCGGGTAACTACATTTACAGAGTATGTGTTTCTAATAATTAAAAAATATTATTAAAAAATATTATCTTATAATCATTTCAGATTATTTAAAAATGTAATTACAATTATATTAGATGCGCATAAATGATGCAAAACAAGTGAGGACGAAACGAGGACAGGCATAAATTATAATATTGTTGTTTGATCTTTAAGTTAAATTATCATTATTACGTAAAAATTAAAAAAGATAAATTACAATTTTGTACCTAATTTATTATTTTTATTTAATTTTAGTATTTAAACCTTATTTTTTTCGAAGATTATTGACGGTGATACACTGATGCTTATGTTACATGACATTTCAATTTTTTTATTTTTCAGTATTTTTTAATTAATTTTATTCAACCAATTAGGTGTTGACATGTGTTACCACCTATGAGATAAAAATATATAAATTATTCTTTCTCCTTGAATGAATTGATCCTAAATATCATACATGAGAAACAAATCGCTCAACCATTAAGTTAAACTAGTAATTTGAACAAATTTCACCACATTTTTATTTTAACTTATATAACAATATCACCACAAAATCAGTATTTTTTATGATTATAAGATTCAGATTCGGGACACTTTAAATTAATCATGGAAAACTTAGTCACTCAACTATAATGTGAATTTTTTATTATTATATTGAACTTCATACTTACTTATATCATTATTAAAATTAAAATTAATTTTTCAACTTAGTTAGAATTATAATATTATAAAAATATTTATTAATTTTTAAAAATACAATTAATTATTTATTTAAATAAATTATTTTAAAATTATCTATTTAATTTTAAATAATTTAAATTTAGGGTAAATTATACATTTACTCCCCAACTATTACTTTAGCCATCTACAATATTATTTAAATTTAAATAGATAATTTGAAATAGTATCATTTCAAATAAATAAATAATTGAATTTTAAAAAAAATTAAGAAATATTTTCATAATATTATAAATAATTTTTTTATAATTATTCAATATAAATTTTATAAATATATAAAAGTAATTATTTTTATTTTTAAATAAAGTAAAAAATCATTCTTTAATTTAATAAGGATATAAGTAAATATTAAGATTGATAAAATAAAAATATATTCACGTTATAGTTGAATGACTAAACTTTCTATCGTTAATTTAAAGTGTCCCATATTTGAATTTTATAATCATCGAAAAATATTAATTTTTTTGGTGATATTATAATATAAGTTAAATACAAAATATGATAAAATTAATATAAATGACTAGTTTAATTCAATGGTTGAGTGTCTTGCATTTCATGTATAAAGGCTTAGGTTCAATTCATACTATGAGCAAGAATAGTTTCTTTTATTTTATTCTCGTAATTGGTAAAATGTGTCATCATTTAATTGGTTGAATAAATTAATTAAAATATATTGATAGAGAAATAGAAAAATGATGTGGAAATTAAAAAAAAATACATATCACATCACGTTATCATTAATAGTTTTGGAAAAAATTAAAGTATAGATACTAAAACGAAATAAAAGCGATAATGTAATTGTTAAACGTATAATTTATCATTTTTAATATTTACTTAAAAAGAATAACTTAGATAGTAATACATCTTGATATATCACTTTAATGATATATTACGGTGTGCGATGTTTAGTGTAAACCCGTTCAAATCTTTAATAAATTATAATGTAGATTTATGATATTTTGATATACATCTTAATTTTTTAAAATAAAAGCAAAAAGGTGTTTGAGATCTAAAATTAAACAAATATGTGATATTAACAAATAAAAGTGTGAAAAATATTAAAAATAGCTAGGGATACAATTATTAAAAAAGAAAATTAATTTTTCAATATTTTTTATTGATATAAAATAAATAATATTAATATATTTAAAATATATAATTTAATACTTTATTTTAAGGATGAGTTGAAAGAGCCATCACACTATTTAAAATTTTAAATTATTATATAATTTAACTTTTTTAATATTTTATATTAATATTTTAATTTTACACTCTTGAAATTATAATATAATATCTTAAAATTTATACTTACATACAACTCATATTAATTTGATGTTAATATTATCCTAACAATATAATCTTTATTATCATCCTGCCAACAGTTTTTTATTTTCTTCTATATATATTCTAAATTGATAAAATCTAAAAGTAAAAATATTTTAGATAAACGATATATTTAGTCGCTCATGTATTATTTTAATTTTTATTTTAATTGTATAAAAATTAACAGTGATGATGATATATCATCATAAAATAATACTGTGTCATTTTTAAAAAATCACATCGATAATTTTGTTTTTTAACGATGAATAACCAAAACGTAATGATATGTACAATTTAAAAAATAATTCAATGACTAAAATAGTACTTTATAAATAGTAGGAGCACTAAATATATAGTTTACCCTTATTCCTATGAGTTATCTAAGTAATTAGGGGTGTTCAAATAACTTAACTAATTCGGTTAACCGATCGAACCGAATTAGTTCGGTCGGTTAACGGTTAAGAAAATTTTTAGAATTCGGTTAACGGTTAATTCGGTTCGAATTCGGTTAATTAACCGAATTAACCGAAATTAAATTTTAAATATTAAATATATTATTTATAACATATGGGCTCAACCCAAATCATTTAAAACTCAATTAATAATTTAAGATCTAATAATTTTTAAACTTAAACCAATATTAATTAATTAAAAAATTATATAAATTTTTTATTTTATAATTATATATTTAAATTATTTGTAAACTTTTTTAATTAAAAATATATATATTATATATAACATAGCCCAAACCATTTAAAATCCAATTAATAATTTAAGATCCAATAACTTTTAAACTTAAATCAATATTAATTAATTAAAAAATTTATCTAACTTTTTTATTTTATAATTATATATTATTTAAATTAATTATAAACTTTTTTTGAATTAAAAAATATTTAATTTTTATATAAATTAGAAAATTTAAAAAAATTCAGTTAATTCGAAATTAACCGAATTAACCGAAATTTATTTGGTTCAGTTAATATGTTCGAAAAAAATTTGGTTCGGTTAAAAAAAAAGTTTAATTAATTCGATTATGATTAATTCGATTCGATCGACCACCGTTTTAACCAAATGAACCCCCTATGAGTAATAATGTCTAGCCTGAAGCGTCTTTGCATATTGTCGCCACGCTTTTCACAAGCGATTTCGAGGCGGCTTAAGATAAGGCTAGCGTGGTCAAGAGCCATTCAGCTAGTTCCACGTGTGAAGGTAGGGACAACAGAATCTTGACAAGTGTATCTGAATATATCACGTTTTTATTTTTTTTAATTAATCACCGGTATTCGATCTATTGACCGACTAATATAAATCGGGTACTACAGAAACGATGACTACCCTTTCAACTAAATTTTCTCCATTCACAAACACCAAGATTCGAACTTCTAACATTACTTAATAGACCTAATATTTCATCCTAGACCAATCCGTCGTGTGTGTATTGTTTTAAATTATATGGTGTAAATAGTAATTGTAACAGTACCGTGTTAGTATTGTCATGTCATTCCGATCCGAGCGCGTACTTTATTATAAACCACGTGGGTAGCAGCCCCACAGCTTTTAAGTTGACTATTCCATGTTTTTATTAATACAAAACTAAATATCTCAATTATATTATTTTTCTATTTAAATGTTTAAATTATATTTTATTTAATTTATACGTTACAAACGTTTTAATTTTAAGTGTTTTGATTATAACAACCATTAAAATCAACATTATAAAATGTTAAATTATATTTAGAACAAATTTTAAAAGTTATAGTTTTTTTAAAAAATATTTTTTCTTTAATCTAAAAGAAACTCAAAATATAAAGAATTTTCATTTCAAAATCTAAACAATAGCCGTCACCGTCGCTGTCGTAGCCATCTTAATTACCATCGATCATAGACGAACAACCACCTTAGTCATCATAAATCACCTAATGATCTATCATCGTCTACTTTCATAAACTTTTAAACTTAAATCTCTAAATTCTTAAAATCTCAAACATTCGAATCCTAAAGGTTTCGTAAATCCCTATAAATGATTGTGATAATGGATTGTTTAGTTAAATCTTTCGATGGTCTCATAGTTAAAAAGGATGTTATTCTCCTTAAAGGTGGTTTAAACAATTGTCTACGAATGTGTATACATTATCAATGATTAAAAAGATTATGAATAGATATTATTTTATAATCACGTTAAATTATTGTGAAAATATAAATGATCATCATAGTTACGCAATAAGTACATAAAGATGAGCAAATATAAATAGAGCTGGATAGAATGTTTGTTGAAGCAAATACCAAAATGCACAAAGTTATAATTCTCTTGCAAGCAAGCAAAGCACATTATTTCAAACAGAATAAACCGTGTTTCAAAGGAAATATGCGCAGTGCCCTAGAGCCGACACCAAGGAGTTTACTTACAGTTCATCCTCCAAATTAAAAAGACACAAAGTTACAACAGTACTGCTATTCAAATCCATGGCATTATAAAGTGCTGTTTCCTTTCATCGAAGAAACATTCAAACAGATTGATTAAATTGGTGCTGATTCTCTTATGCATGCATGCATGCATGCCTTCTTCTTCTATTGTAATTTGTCACGGTAGCCATCCCATCATGTAGTTATTCACACTCGAACCCACGTCGACGACCGATATCGGATCGTGCTGGTATCTGTGTCATTCGAACACATGTTCATACATGTCTGCATATGTTTCAATTCAAATTTCAGAGTAGCAAAAGGCCGTACCCGATTTGTAATGTAGGCTCACACTCCAATGCGTGGAAGAAGCCATCATCATGAGGATGAGGATGATGAGCAGGATGTCGGCCGCCGTAGCCGACATCGTCTGCATTCGGATTCAACTGGAGTGAATTAACTTGGTAGCTTTCAATCAACTGTAAAAAAGATCCGATCCTCGATGAATATGGTGTTTCGAGACGATATCTAGATTCGAATCGGTTGATAATTGAGTTTTGAATAATGACGTACCCTTTGTTTCAGGTTCTTATTGGCTTCATTGAGAAGTTGTTCCTGCATTAAAGAGAATTAAATGGAAAATATTGCATTAGTGAGAGAAATCTGAGTTTAGAAACTTAATCAAGTCTTGGATTAGATGATAACTAACTGCATACCTTCCGTCGGAGATCAGCGAGCTGGTCCAGCATATATTGGGTCTACAAAAGAACACCAAATGATTCAATGTTCATTAGAAACAATAAGGCATGCACAAAATAGATTCTAAACTTTCACATAGGAGAATACATTGCTCGGATTCTTTAATTCTTACGGTAAAGTACATAAATGATCCCCGACTATAAGATACTATTTTATTAAGTCTATCGACTATTAAAAGTTACAAAATGATCATTTAACTATAGAATTTTGCTTTATTAAGTCCCTCAGTTTTTAAAAGTTATAAAATAGCACCCAACTATTCATTATGTTTCAAAGTCATCCTTTTCGTTAAAATGTTGACGGGCGTCTAAGTTGGACGTTAGCAATAGTATAATGAATGAGATATGATATTCGTTTAAGATTCTAAGATTAGATTTTATCCTATCACAATCAACTAGTTAACTTTTAGCTCATAATATTATCAAATTTTTAATGAAAAATGACAAATTTGGAACATAATGAATGGTCGGGTGATCATTTTGTAACTTTTAATAGTGAAGGAATCAACAAAGTAACACTCTGTAGTCAGAGAACTATTTTGTAGTTTTTAATAGTCAAATGACTTAATAAAGCAATACCCTATAATCGAGAGACCATCGTATACTTCAACCTAATTCTTATTCGAGTTTGACTCGTCATCTCTCTAAATAGATACTACAAATTATGCTTAGAAGAAAAGTTGTTGACGTATATTCCTCCTATATTCATCTATTTTCAACATTAGTGAAATTTTTTCTATTTTCAACATTAGTGAAAATTCTTCTATTTTGTCGGTAGTTTTTTTCAAAAGTATTTTCAACTAAAAGAAATCTTAGTGTATATTTCATTATGCGATCACTATGTATGTTGTTATCTTCAAACACTTCGATATATACTCATTTTTAGGTATATGTAAAGATTGATAAAAGATATGCAAATTCCAAAGAGAAAAAGGAGCCTGGATTACCCTCATTGATCTGATCTGTTTCAAAGAAAAATCAAGCTGCTTCTCAAGGGATTCTAGCTCTTTGCTGCTTAGAGGACCCAGATCTTCACCTAGGAAATTCCTAACAAAATAAAATCAAAAGAACAAAAAGAATCATCCAAAACAGTCTGGGTGTTAAGTTTTAGCCATTTTTTTTAGGTCAACTGACTCACCTTTGGGACCTTTGTAAGGCCTCGTATCGAGCTTTAAGCTTAAGATATTCCTGCTGACTGCTTAACTCCTACAAAGTAGCATGAATATAAGTACCCGTCTCCGACTCTCGTATCTAATAAATTCATGAATATTTAGACATAAATATGTTCGAAAAAACTTCAAATTAGTTTAATATACCTTAATAAACCCTAATTTCTCATACATGGAAATGTAATAAACCCTAATTTCTCAAAAATAGTTTTAGACGTTACCAGAGCCTCCCTAGCTGACACATTTGTCTCTGGTGCTCCATAGTTGCACTTCTGGTACCTCTCCAGTGTTTTCACCATACTATATATATATACATATTCAATGAACAACGATGAACATAATTAATCACATTGACAAAGTTCTTAATCTTCATTCCAAACAAAATCTTGTTCGTTATCTCGACACTCTAATTATTATCGTTCTCTTGTTCTCAAACTACGATAATATAACCCGAAAATGATCATTCGAATCCATTGTCGAAACATAAACATCCGCAGGAAAAGGGCATGGTATGATCGTATAAAATTCTCATGCTATAGGAAATAATGGACTTCAAGAAGCTTTTGAAGTACACAAAGGCATTAATATGTACATGGTAGTAAATGAAGCTATTAAAAATATAAAAACTGGAGTGGTTGGGACATTTATTTGGTTTAATAAATTAGTTTATTTAATTCTTCACCACATGTGAGCATATTCCTTAATACTAAAGCTCAAACTTAGACTTCCAACTTTTATTTCACAACAAATATACCTTACCTACTATTTCATCTTTAAGGGCATGTACATATTGTAAGTTCACAAGACTTAAACCTGAATTTGCTTGTTCATTGTACATGGAGATTGATTTCATCTAAATTTTTTAAAGAAATGCATTCAATCCTTATTGAGTCAACCAAGGACAAAGCTTATTAGTTATTTAATCTAAAGAGTTAGAGGAGATAAAGGTCTAATTTTACTTGCTTTTGAACTAATGCTGACCTAAAATTTCATTAAAAAAAATTAGGAGGGGCAATAGCCCCTCTCAGTCTCCATATACATATTTAATATTAGGAGAGGATGAACTTCTAATATCAATAGAAAATGTAAAAATATATCTAAAATATGTAAGAATTTAAAAGTTATAGGGTCGGTCCATCTATGCAACTCAGAGATAGTAAAGAAATAAGATTATGATATTGGAATTTTAAAAAATATTGATAATACTAGGCAGGGCGGATGCAAAGCATGTCCATGAGCAAGTGTTCACCCTGCATTCGAATTTTTTTATATTAATTGTTTATTTTACTATCAGTGACCAACTTGAATTTTATTTATGCCTATCCATACGAAAAGTTTCAATAATTAATATATGTGTGCTCAACCTAAAAATCATTTATGGATCCACAATTGATATTAGGTTAGACTGGTATCAATTTTTTTACATGAAAATTATTTTAAAATTCTATTTTTTTAGTTATTAGTATAAAGTAGAAAGAACTCAATAATTAAAAGTAGGGTTTGGATTAGATTCTCCACTGGTTTACAAAGCTATGAAATATAAGATGATAACAAATTCGAAAACAAACATTAGATCTGATGGAATCTGGGGCTCTTAAGTACAAAAAAGTTTGGACAATGTTGTAACCTTAAAGAACTGAAACCCGAAACCCTAAACTGGGGGAGCAGCCGCTTTAGGAAATTCAGAAACCCTAAATTTCATCTCAGGGAAGAAGAAGAAGAAGACATAATGGGGTTTGTTTATCTGTAGAGCCGAACACACTTGTGTCTGGTTTTGTTTTCGTTGCTTCATTGATTAGTGACATCTGGAAGTTCTGTAAATACCAGAAGATCAGCTTTGAATCCGGTGGATTTTTTTTTTCTTTTGGGTTTTGGTCTGTTTTGTTTTTCAATTTTATTACAAACAAAAACATCAATTCAAATTGTTAAAACAAAGCTTACAGTCAGAGGAACAGTACCTTGTACGTATGAAAAGAACTAAAATTGGATTTAAGTTGAACAAATAAAACCCTAAACTCAGAAACTGGAAAGTTAACAAAGATGGAAGATGGTTTAAACTTTAAACCCTTTTTTACATAAAAATTAAGCTGATTAGTTAAAAGTTAACGAAAATAAGCTTTGAAATGAGAGAAAAGCTGTATGCGAGACTTGAACAGATTTGGAAAAAAGGAAAAGGGAGGAAAATCAGATGATAATCAAGGGTTTCTGGGGAAAGTGAAAGGAAAATCACAAAGAAAATGAAATTTGGGTCCCAATACAACAGTGATCTTCTTTTCATGGTTTATCAGTTGCAGATCTAAACATCACTGGGAAACAGCAACAACAACACTTGGTCACTGTTGTGCTACAAACACCGAGACATTCACCGAAACAGCAAAACTGAAACACAACTCATTTTGTAAAAAAAGAAAAAGAAATCATTTTAACTTTTCTTTCTCGGATTTTCCCGCAATCCAATCACGAAACCACCCTAAGCCTAAGAAAGGGAAAAGCAAGAGAAAGTGGAAAGAAAAGAATTTTTTTTGGTTGGTGAAAATGAAATACCTTGAACTGCTGCAAAACTCGTACAGCTTTCCTCTATTGGAGAAGATGATGAGAGCAACCTCGGCATCGCAAAGAACGGAAAGCTCGTAAGCTTTCTTCAAAAGCCCATTTCTTCTCTTAGCAAAAGTGACTTGCCTGTTGATCTTGTTCTCAATTCTCTTCAACTCAACCCTACCTCTCCCCATTTTTCTACCTTTTTAAGCTAAAACCCAAACCAACAATGGCTTCCAAATTAGGAACCAGAAACCAGAGAGAAAGAATATTGGTTTTTTTTGTGTGGTTTTCTTCTCTTTCTTGTTGCTGACCTTCAATAACCCTTTCTCTTTTTGTACTATGCTCTTTTAGATAATCTTAGCTAACAACTTCATTAGAGTCTCGGATGATATTATCAGCCTTGAATTATTATTATTATTATGGAAATCAAAAGAGAAGGACAAATAAAATGTGTATCTAAATCCTGAAAAAAAAATTGTCGACAAATTGACAAGACAGCCTAAACAAAATACGTAGCGAATAAGATAGTACATAGGGTTCCTAACTTTTGTACGCTTACTTAATGTCAGTCGTTGGATGCATGATCCAGCGGTGAATATTAAACTATCAGGACGAATACATTAAATGGGAGTTAATATTTAAAGCATTCATCGTATATACATTAATTAATTAATAAGTCATGACATATGATGATATGTTTGATAATGTTTTTATATGATATGTACTTTGGCTCGGTTAATCTTAAATAATACGGTAATATATGTTTAAATATTTTATATTTATGGTGAAATGGTAATTTTTGTCCCTACAATAGATTTTATTTATCATTTTCGTTTTTATCGTATTTTCACATCAATTTAGCCTTGTATCATCATATACCTTACCCCTAACTTAAAACTATAAATTATAAACTCTAAACCTAATTCCATAACATCTAAACTTTAAACCTTAACTTAGGTTTATAATTTAGGGTTTTAAGTTAGGGTTATGATATAGAATGATGGGATTAAAAAACTTTGAGGGCTAAACTAATACGAAAATACGATAAGGGCGAAAATAATAAATTAAGTTTACTACAGGGACAAAGGTGACCCTTAAGCCTATATTTATTGAATTAGTTGTGTCTACGTGTAACAGGGTTTGCAATGTCAATAACTAAAATTTTTTGAATAGATATTATTTTATGATCACTTTAGACTATTTAAAAAGAATATTTGATACTTTTTTATTTTTAAATTAATATTTTCTAACCATTAATTGATAAATTAAGAACGGACATTTCATATGTTTATTATAAAATAGTTTTCACAGTTCCGTTTGTTTTATTTAATGTCAGTATTTAGATATTGAATGTTTTTAAAAAAATTAAAATCTTATTTATTGTAATCCGAACCAACTGATAACTGATCAACTAGTGTTTATTGATTGTATCGAACTTATATACAATCAATACATCGAATATTAACCTTAACTGATAGCATATAATTTAAATAATTGAGATGATTATCCAGCTGAGTTGGTAGAGAACAAAGTTCTTAATCTTGAGGTCGTGGGATCGAGTCCCACGAAGGGCATTTCATAATTCGGAGGCTTTCTACATAAACTGCTCTCATCTTGGTGTTGGGGGCAGCCTACTATCTTACCTCCCCTTACCTCATTACATATGGAAACAATGGACATCCATTATATAATTTAAATAATTGAACCAAAGTTAAACAATAAAAGAAATTTTATCAAATTGTAGTTAATATTGACTCAATTTAAGTTTTTTTTTATTAATTAGGGTAAGTACAAGATAATATATGTTGAAAGATAATTTTCAATCATTTAATATAAAACGCTTACACCTTTTAT